TATACGAAAAATTTATCGTTAAAAAAATTAATTAAAAAAAAAAAAAAATTATGATTAATTGTTACATAAGAACAATGTAGATGTATTAGACAATCGCATCGGCCCAGTTGAATGCAACATTGAATTAAAAAACAAATGGTTGTAAAGTTAAATTCGCTTTAAATACACAAAGTAAATACATTTCTGAAAACTGGAAAAACATTTTTAATCTCCATGAACCCATTTTCGATTGGAAAATGAGCCTGAACGCGAAATACTGTGTAAATGTGCAATTTAGTGAAGACAACTTCTATAGACACTATCTTGTTGGAGAAAACGTGTAAAGTAGAATAAAACATTAATCATCTCCAAATCCATCGTTAAATTTTGATCATAAATATGGTCTATAGAAAGATATAAAACAAAAAAAAAAAAAAAAAAAAAAAACAAACGTTTTTAATAAATTTGATCCCATAAATATTAATCGATATCACCGAAAACTATATGTGTCATCCTTGGATTAGGTTCAGCCAAATGTGTAATCATGGCCCAATAATAAAGTCGTAATAAGATCTGTCATCATCATAAAGCGGCTTAAATGTAAAAGGGAGGTATATTGAACTACTAAAAAAAGAGCCAATTATAAAGAAACGTGTTACAAAAAAATGTAAATTAAAAAAGATTTTGAAAAATTCGATTATGACTACTCCAGTAGGAATGGAATGCCAGCACCATCAAAAGAAAATTTTTATATATATTAATATGAATTCAATTCTGATCTAATTAAATTGTATCACAACTTCAAAAAAAAAATGTATACATAAATACATATAATAATAAATTGAATTTGACCTACTCCATAAATCTAATGGAAAAGTAAATAACAAATTGACAGTACGGGAGATTTTCAACCAAAATTTCCACTTCTTACACGACCTGTTGCAAACGGCACTTGCATAAGAACTGTTTGAAGGATTAACCTCCTCTATAAGGATTTATTTGACAAATATGCGATGGAATTGACAATTAAAACCTACTGGGTTAACTAAATCGGGTACAATGTAAACGTACTATAATAGACCTTGTTGTAGCATGACCCAAATATAAGGTCATCCGAAAGGCGAATTCGTTCAAAAGTACAACACCAAGGTATATTTAATAAGGTAGCCGCATCGGCCCAGCTGTTGGACAAATAAATGTCAAAAATGTTGTTGTAATGTTGAACCAAAAAATTAAAAAACAAAATTATAAATGAAAATCTCCGAATTTCGAATAGATTTTTTGGCAATACTTTTATTAACATTTTCAACAAGAATTTGTGTAAAAAAATCTTGTCAATCTGTTTGTTTTGGCAAAATATTTTTGACATATCAAAATACAACAACTGATGTTTGTATATCTACCTTGTACAACACTGTACCTACATCTATTGTCAAGAGTTGTACTTGGAGCGAAAATCCTTTTTGGTAATTTTTTATTATCCTCATTTTTAAACGCGCACAACACAAATTGGTCACCGCACCGGATCGTTTCTTTTTTTTCAAAAATTTGAAATATATTTTTCAATTTATAGCGAATGATAAAGTTACAATGAAAGAACAAGCATTTGCAATCTCTCACGAATGTTCGCATTATACGAAAAATTCACGAACGATAAAACTTCACAAGCATTTGTTGCTGAAGAACATTCCTTTGAAAAACTTCACAAGCATTTGTTGCTGAAGAACATTCCTTTGAAAAACTCAAAAAACAAATGATCGCGAGCGCTGTTAAAAACAACAACAAATAAAAATATCATAAAAAATGTAAACACATACAGCGAATGAACAGCAGAAAGTGGGTGGAATAACAAAATACATGCCCAACAACTATTGAGTTCACGAACGTTTGTTATTGTTGTTGTTGTAGCAACAGAATACATGTTGTTTTGTCATGCATCGTATGGTTCTGCATCTTCTACCTCCAAATTCAGGAATGCTGCAACTTCAGCGGGTTGCGTCCAAAGTGAATTCGGCGATAGGTGAGTAGGCTTAGCTGGGCAATTGAAGAGGTGCAACGTGTCGTGTGGTCCTAGTCCACATGCCGGACATGTGTTAGGTATCGAGCCGTCAATTCTTGCCCAATACGAATTGAGGCGGTTGCACCATCCTGATCTTAGTTGAGCTAAGGCTACTCGTGTTTGCCTTGGCAGCTGCTTCTCCTCAGCTGCGATGGATGGGGGGTGGTCTCCAATTATGGTATTCACTTGATATTGCTCTACTGCCTGAGCGACTGCATCCGTGTGAATACCATTCAGACCTGCTTGATAGGCTTCTTGATCTAGAGGTTCACGCTTGTACCTTTGGATCTCTTTCTCTAGATCATGAAGATCTTTCCTGACGTGCCTGGGTGGGGGAGTCCTGTCCATAAGGCTATGGCAGGGATGTTCCTGACGATAACACCCAAGCAGGTACTGCATCGACAACATATAGTTGTGACGATGGACGGGTAAGATCTTCGTCTCCTCATGAAGATGGTCCACTGGAGTCATAAGGAGACACCCTGTTGCAGTTCTCAGGGCAGCGTTCTGGCAGGTCTGAATATTCTTCCACTGCGTATCACTGACATTCGCGAACCACACTGGCGCCGCATAGCTTACCACTGACCGGCCTATTGCTTTATAAGAGGTCAACAAGGTTTCTTTGTCAGCGCCCCAAGTGCTGCCGGCTAGCGACTTGAGGACCTTGTTCCTACTTCTCAGCTTATCGAATAAAGCAGTGGCATGCGCGGACGACTTTAAAAGGCTGTCGAACGTTACTCCCAATATCTTGGGGTAGTTGGTGGTCGGAATCAATTCTCCATCGACCATTATGTTCAGTGGGAGCTTCATTTCAGCTGTCCAGGTGGTGAACAGTGGCTGTTGATTTGGTGGTGGATATTTTCATATTCCTCAGATGGAAGTAGTTAACAATATCGGCTATGTAGACGTTTAGCCTCTCACATATATCATCAATAATAGGACCCGACGCCATGATCGTGCAATCATCCGCATACATTACGATCTCTATGCCGTCCGGTGGTTGTGGAATATCAGAAAGGTAGAGGTTAAACAGTTCCGGAGATATCACCCCTCCTTGGGGAACTCCCTGTTTCACTCTACGGGGTTCAGACTTCCTGTTTCTGAATTCCACATACGACTGGCATCCACACATATAGTTGATTATCCAACGTTTCAAACACGGTCGGAGATTTGTTCTCTCTATATCCTCGAACAGCTTGGCATGGTTGACGGTATCGAAGGCCTTCGATAGGTCAAGGCCTGTTCTGGTTGAGTCCTCTGCTAATATGTGTGGAAATGGCGTGTTGTTGTACTATGCATCTTACGGAATCCATGTTGGTGTTGGGCAACTGGAAAACTGCTTCTCAACGATGGGAGGAGTAGCGCCTCAAGTGTCTTCGCTACCGGCGACAGGAGTGAAATCGGCCTGTACGATTCACCCCTGCTGGCATCCTTGCCTGGCTTCAGTAGCGGGACCACCCTGCCTATTTTCCAGGTTTCAGGAACTATGTGGGTGGTTAACGCAAGTTTAGGGCTGATGTTAGGTACTCAACTCCAGGTTCATCCAGCTGCTTTAGCATTACCATGGAAATTCCGTCCGGGCCCAACGCTTTAGATGACTTAGCGTTATTAACGACATCTGCAACATCCTCATTCGTAAATTGTGGTGGTTCCTCCTCAGCTCGGAGTGCCCTTATGCGACGTAGCACACTCCTTTTCGCTCTGTCACTCTCGGGGCGCTCTATGAACTGCCGGTTAAAATAACTCGCGCACCTCTTCGGGTCTGTTACAGTTACGTCGTTAAATGTAACAGCCGTTCTGTCATCTTTCCTTCCAGGATTCGAGAGTGACTTAACCGTTGCCCACAATTTACTTGTTCCGGTGGCAATGTTGCATTGCTTCCTTTTGTGCTCGCATACTAATCTGTTGACTTCGAGGGTAAGCTCTCGCACCCTTGGGTCTTCAGCAGTAGTCCGACGGAGCTCATCACGCTCATTATCCAATACCGTTGCTTCTGCTGGCAAGTTAGGTCTTACTGCGGGTATTCGACCAGCAGGTATGAAGCGAGCGGCAGAAGTAGCGATGATTTTACGGAAATTCCTCTCAGCTACCCGTGGATCTGGGGGAGTGGGCAGTTCTCTGAAGCGGTGATTGGTAAACTCTCTGAAGCCAGGCCAATCAGCTTTCCCATGGTTCAGGAAAGAACGGCTTTCAGAGGTTATGAAGTCTGGTGGTCTATTTACGGAGACGATGATCGGAAGGTGGTCTGAGCCTAGTGAAACGACGAATGTTGAGCTATCAATTTGCTTAGCCATCGCTGTACCCCTCTGGTCATTACCTAGGACGGAATGCCATAATTCATGGTGGGCATTGAAATCCCCTAGTACCAGGCGGTTATTACCTTCTAAAAGCGGACTGATATCCGGTAAATAACGCGGTGTACAGCTATTCATCGGCGGTATATAAACATTGAGCACCTCTAACTCGGAAGTTCCCCACTTGACTGCTACCCCCATACATTCCATGTATGGGTCACTAGAGTCTAGCTTAAGCGAGATAGGTCTGTACTGGACAGAATGGTGTAATAAGAATGCGAGTCCCCCACCTCCGCTTCTGGTACGGTCCTTCCGCACAACGTTGTAACCATCGCAACGCTGCAAGCTACAGTTCTCAGTTAGCTTGGTTTCTTGGATCGCACCGACCATTATTCTCTTTCGACTCATAAATTCTACAATTTCGCTGATTTTGTTGCGAAGACCGTCACAGTTAAACTGCAAAAACGATGCATTTTCAAGGCGCGGAACAGTAATATGTGGTGTTAAATGCTGTGCATTTTGCTGTTGGGGAGACTGCGGGGGTGTCTCGTACTCCGACGATGACGATTCGGAAGATGAATCGGACGACGACTATTGAGACACACTGGGAGACGTGCTAGCGCAGCATGAAGCGACGTAACTCCTTTCGCAGTACTCCTGGATCCTGTTCAGTCCAGAGCAGCCTCGAAAATGCACCCATTCTCCACATCCATTGAATCTGCGGATGTGGATGCGGTTTCTGCAAACACTGCAGAACCAAGGTCCGGGGTTTCTTTCAATCCCGGCACGGACCAGTAGGGTTCCGAGCAGGCATTTCGGGATATAATGCGGCTCCCATGACAAAAATGACGAACACGAACATGTAATTGTTGAGGTGGCATCCTCTGGTCGGAGTCCATCTCCGAGTCAATCCGTTGCTGTTTTGAGCATTCGGGAATGTTGGTGTTCAATCGTGAGCGAATTTCAGAAAGAATTTCAACCACCAAACATAAAGAACGATCGTTGTTGTGTGCTCTCACTCGTTTGTTATGTGCGTGACTGGACATTCGTTTGGCGATAAATTCACTCGTAAAATGAGCCCAAAACGAAAAGAATGCATTTTAATTCATTCGCGAGCGAAATTGCGCACCCTGGATCTTTTTGTTTGTTTTTGTTTTTAACAGCGCTCGCGAGCATCATGCTCTTCAGCAATATTCGCGAAAAATATCGAATCGAAGCGAAGTTTTATCGTTCGTGAATTGTTCGTACAATGCGAACATTCGCGAGTGATTGCAAATGCTTCTTCATTCTATGTAACTTTATCGTTCGCGATAAATTGAAAACAATCGAATTCTCATCGTGGTCATTCGTGAGAAAGAGCGTATTTGAATCGTTCGCCGCACACTGTTGGTCCATAAATTTGAAATTTGGGCATCTATAATAAGATCTCTTGTTCTTTCTTATGAAAACTTCATAATTTGTATGGCGATTATGTTGCAAGTCCGGTTTTGAAAAAAGTCACCTAAAAAATCTACAAGATTATGTTACATATCCTATATTGGAATCTGTTCATTGACCTTTCCCAAAAGTCCAACTAAAATTAAAAAAAAAATATCCAAAGAAAAAAATTGAAAACAATGGGTCTCATGCATAAAATCTGAGCTTGAGTTCGGACTCGATTTTTTGAGTAAAAGGAGCTTGTCGTATGCATAATAAAATTTGATGTATTTGTTATTACTCACTGCTCACGTTCCATCTCTTCTTGCTCAGTTTGAACTTTGAAGTTGGATGAGATTGTTCTCATTTTCATATGCATAAAAACAAGCATTTGCTTACTTTTGAGAGCTCTTGCTTAACTTTTGTTGAGCATGCATTTTAGTTGACTCGCGTACACTAAAGGAATAATGATCAAAGACATAGAAACCGTAAAGACTCGACAAAATGCATTTTGACAAAATAGTTTATGAAAACATATCCAATCAGGCATAACAGAGGCATGTTAAGAATAAAAACGCCAATACGCGAAAATGTATGTATAAAATTTAAATAAAATCACAGGTCTGCACTCAAAATATATGTCGACGCCTCCGAACCATAGTATGCTAAGTCGAATTAGCATGTTTTAAAGTTCTTTACGTTTTTAGATACTACGGTCCTTAATTTACATTCACTGAAATTTTGGTAATCATCGGCCAATCCAAACCAAAGTTATGAGCAAAAATGTACTTAGCATGGCACGTACGATTAAAGGATATATCGTCAGTTTCTATTTTATAATTAGTATTTACTACTAACTTTGCACTTCAATAACAATTAGAAGTTATGCATACGAAATTGAGCAAAAGCAGTTGCTGTTCGATCTAACTTACGAGCAATTGCTTACTTGACTCAACTCATCGCTTTTGCTCGTTTTTATGCATGAGACCCAATCTCCTTAATTTTGTGGTCTTTGAGCGTCGATTTCATTCATGAATTACAAATTAAGTAGATGTTAAGATATTATTAGGGAAATAAATTGTTAATTTGAAGATTTGGGGTTGTCCAAATATTGTTGTTCTTTTATAAAGCTCTTGAATTGAATACTATATTCCTTGTTAAAAAATAATTATAAAAATGAAAATCAAAAACTGTCTAAAAACAACTAAACGGTAAGATTTTATTTAAATCAATTAAGCCCTAATTATTTTTTTTCGAACATTAACATTTTAGCAACTTATATTTATATATGTTTGCGTACTACAATACTTGTGGACCAGATATTTATTCGACAATCTTTCAAATGTAATCTAAATATGAACACTATCTATTGTCATCTATATATAATTAATTACAAAATAATGGTTTTATAATGGTTAATGGTTATAAATATTTATTTATGTAGACCAATTAAATGAAATTATAACAAATTATTTTTAATAGAATGAAATTGTAATTAATATAGGAAGACTTACACATTTTAATTTTTTGAATTTACGTTTATTATTGTCATTCTCTTAATTGTTTAACATATAAAAATCCTCAGAGACTTCTAAAGTAATATTTTCCTACGTACACATAATTTAAATATAAGCAAAATGTCTATATCCTCAAATATACATCAATATTATATAGAAATTAAACCAAGATCACGGACTACATATTTAAATCGTACGTATCATAGAATATTTAACACACATACACGCCCAAGTATGAAATTGATCTCCATGAGTTGAATACAAACAAGGAAATTTAAAAATTTCATTGAAAGTTTATCTCCTTACACTATTAAAAAATGCATTTGTCCTAACTATGGATTATTATGCAACAATCAAGGTCATCATTAAACAGTTTAGACTTATCGAATTTTTTTCACTCTTCTCCCTATTCTGAATGACTCATATCCGAAAAAGCGTAAAATTCTAAATCGATTATGAATCTGCCTTTTGTAATCAGCATTTCGGATTTTCAATTGAATGAAAACCATTTTCGCACTGAAACACCAAAAATATTTGTCCCCATGAAGTACATATCGCTTATTTGCTGAAAGACTGACATAACTCAAAAAAGGCGATTTCGCAGAAAATACTTTTTAAGTTTTCATTTTACTCACACCTTATATGGAACAGAGGAACTTCTACAGTTTCTCAATTTGAGTGTGTAAGAGATATTCATATGAATTTTTTACACAACATGAGGTCTATTATAGCGACCAATCGTGCATCATTAACTCGAAAATCACGTTTTTTTGAGTTATGCCTGTCTTGCAGCAAATGAGCGATATATTCTTGATCTGAGTAAAATTCTATGTATATTTAGCCAAGTATGCCCATCCTCTGAGATCATGAAGTCCTTGGTGTATTCATGTTTTGACATAGCCCCCGTAACGATGTCTATAGTTTTTTAAAAAATATTAGAACATCGTTTATTAGTGATGAAGAGTAAAGGTAGGTTAGTTTCGATCCTCATCAGTTCCTTTAGTTTACTTTTTTTGTTAGGAATATTCTTCACATAAATTAAATTTAATAAATTCTTAGAAACAAACCAAACTGATATCTCCCATTTGGAATATCTTACATTGGGCTGTGTACATGTGTTTTCATTTATTTGTTCATCTGTCCTTCACAATGCTATCGACTCTACCTAAATATGCTGAACTTACGAGAATATAAGGCACGACAGCGCCAATATAGAGCCACGATTGCTCTCCAACATCCCTCAATAATTTAAGAATTTTATGACAATATTTGAACACATGTACGAGTGAGTGGGTATGGGGATAATATTTAAAACATTATGTTAATTATTAATGCATGTAATGATACAGTTTTTATATTTGAATTCCTCAGAGGAAGTGTCGTTTGTATGTTATGCATTTTAAAATGTGATTAGAAATAGAAATATTTACCTTCTTGGTTGGTATCTGCGGTACTTGAAGGTGATATCGGTCTTCACAGTATTGTCGTAGCAAATTAATGCCCTCATTGCGATTGTGGCTATAGCGCGTTTCCCATGCATCCAATAAACGGTTGTAATATCGAGGAGTTTCAGTGTATTTCAAATATTTATGAGTTTCAGCGGTTGGAAAAATGCGTTCCAGTGGTGAACTACGAGCCAGTTCATCTTCAGCAATTATAAGACACCGTACATCGTCCGGAGTCAGATTTTCCAATATTGCATCAATATACTACACAAATTAATAAAAAATGTAATTATTTCGTAAAATAAGAGTACATGTAAATTTAAAATGTGGCAATATTAAACACTATCGGTACACACTATCATTTTTGACTGTCAGCTTTTTCATTAATTCTTGATGAATCACAAAATTTGAAACAAACTGTCATTCGAAACTGGAAGTGTATACATCGCTTAAGGCAACCAATAAGTGATACTTTGGAGAAAGTGTTGCAAAGAATATACTAATGCTAAGTTTACGGGCTGGTGCGATTATGTAAGGAGTTGAGGATATCTGCACACAGAGAAAACAATTATATTTGTAAAAAAGGGAATTACAAATGAAATGTAAGGAACAGCATTGTGTAGACTAAATAGAATTTTAAATGAATAGTATATGAACATTATTATTCTGTAGAAAAATCCTTTCTGTTGTCAATGCTTCACATGATAGTTATATGTATTCATATGTATAATTGAACATTTTATTACCTCATTTCGATCCTCCATAGTTTTACGAGTAAATGTGCTATGCTTTATTTTCTCACTACGCGACAAGTAATTAATATACAGTCGTTTGTCGTAACAAATAGGTCCAGGCTGCAATGACATTTCTGCCGCAATTTCTTTTTGACGTTCAATTGAAAGCTTTGGTGGTACCTTAAATGTGAAGAATTGTTTATTACTATCACCTTCAAATATATCCTAAAATGAAAGCTATTTATTTACGTTGTAAAGAGCAGTATTCAATACGCTTTGGACAAGGGGTGCTTTCACGTGTGCATCCAATGGCAATTCCGAATGTAGGGATGGTGATATGTTTACTTCTAACAGCCATGGGATTAAATCAGCGTCTAGTAGTACATCAAATCCAAACAACTCGAAACAACTGTACTTTGACTCAACGTTCGTTCTAATCATGTTGTTTATGGAATTCTCACCAGCTAAAATAGTTCTTAGAACTAAGCTCCGTAGGGCATCCCATAAGAGCTCTGTGTGTACGCCCCGACATGCTAGATAATTCCACAACGATTTTATTGTCCACTTGTGACCGTGGCATGCATTGACGTCCTCATTTTTTGCATAATTCGAAGAAAGTTTATTGATACTATAGTTTGTCAAATGCATACACCGATCATTTAATGTATCCGATTTATCACTGTATTTTACTAAAAATATACAAATGAAATGTATTAAATTATAATCGCACAGTAAACAAAAAGAAAATACAATTTTATTCACCTGAAGCAAACCTGGCCAAACCGTTGTGGTACATATACACCCGTAATGGGTGTATCGATGTTACTAGCACATAAAGACGCAAATCAAATTTACTGCCGTTTATTAGCAATGGGCGTTCTATATATTTCTGAACAATTAGCGATTTTCGTTTAGGTATTTGAGCCCATCTATCAACAACTCGTATTCCTGAACCTCTAGCACTAGCTGGTGGCTTTATAATCCATTTGACATTTCTTTGGGCATATTTGGGCCAACTTTTACGCAATTGTTTCAGATCGTTGGGTATGATGTAAGTCCTAAAATATTACAAAGTAATTAGTTATTTCAGTATTAATCTTTTATGGCTTAATACTTACTTAGGCATAAATCCAAATTCTTTCTTCCCGTGCTTTGCCATTTGTCTAACTAGATTTTTCCAACACGAATCTTTGCGACCAATCTTAAACGATCCTGGTAGATGATTTATTTTCTGATGGGGCCGTACGGTTTTAAAGCACGGGGACTTCATGTGTTTTCCCCAAACACCCATCCAGTCATTAGTTTCTATTAAATATATAACATTTGTCTTATAACGTTTTTTTTATAAATGTAATGATTGGAACCTACTTTTAAGTAAACGCATTCCACTGTTGGATAAAATTGTCCGCACTACTCTTGGCATAACACTAGTAACTCTCCATTTCAGAATTCGGTATAAATCGGCAGGTACATCTGGACCTTTCTTTGTATTAGAAGAAAATGATAAATACGGTGGTACATTAGGAAATAAACTTGGCACTAATAGACTTTCCGGATTAGTCAAACTATCTACAGAATTCAGGGAAGACAAAACAGATGTAGTAGTTGAAATTGCATCAAATGCATGAGTAAATTTGTAAGCATGTGATCGGTAACACTCTTCTGAATCAGAAGAAATGTCAGAATCGTCGCCTTCATCAAAATCGGAAACTAAAATGTAAAATACAAAAAAATGTCATATATTAACAGGTTACGCCATGAGATACAATACGTAATAAGATTGAAATAAAATAAAGTTTATGCGATGAAATCAATACGGGCTTTCATAACAATCTACAACAAAAGTGAATTATCTATATATCATATCTATTTCGTTTTTTTTATTTTCGTACTACATCAATGATTTTTGGTACATATATAGGGAATAATATTTGGTTGGTGCGCACAAAAGTTAGATAGGGTTTAATTTTGGTCATTGGAAAACGTTTTAAAATTATGCTGTTTATTATATTGACCAAAAGCGTATGGCTTCCTTCGAGAAATATGAATGTGGAAATATTATAATAATTTTAAAAAAGTTACACATTTTCGCGAAATATGAGAAAGAATAAAAATAAAGGATATTAATAATTAATTCAAAAATCGACATGATCTAAGCTAAACCAAACGATATAAAAACACACAAATCTTTGCAGCGATTTGTAAATTATAGCAACAACAAAATAAGATATTGAGAAAAATTATACACATGAAATAAATGAAATAATCTTAAACTAAACCTATATTGTGAAATATATTTTTTAAATTGCGTCTAAAAGTTAACTTCCAATCCATGTATATTTTGCGAAATTTCATTTGACGGCTATGTGCGAAAAAAAATCGTAAAACTCGAATAATAAAAGTCCATACGGCTTTAACACGCAGTAATTCCTTTAAAAGATCTAAATACAGAAAATAATTTTTTTTTTTTTATATACGGCAACCCTGCAGACAGTAGCAACACGTAATGCGATGGAGAATTATCGGGAGAAAAGGAGAGAGGAGAAACGTATTTTCAGAAAAAAGAACAAGAAAAACGTCTGCGTGGGCAAATCGAGATGTACAGGAGTCGAAATGAAGTCCGGAAATTTTACCGAAGGCTTTGGTGCAGACACATCCTCCTGTAGAGATGAAGATGGAAACCTGGTGACAGATACAGACAGCGTGTTGAGGATCTGGAAGGAGAGTTTTGAAAAGCTTCTGGTATCAAATAGTGGTGGTGAAGAAGATACCCCAGAACCAATAAGAGATGACGAAAAAACATCGACACATTCCACCTATTCGTCGACTATAAAGCCGCCCTATCCCTTCAGAGGTGGTTAAAGCCATGTCTGCGTTTGGCATTTCTGCAAAATTAATACGGCTATGCAGGATAACTTTGAGTGGCACAAGGTCAGCAGTCGGAAAGGACCTCTCGGAGCATTTCAATACCGAACGAGGATTCAGACGAGGTGACAGTTTGTCGTGTGATCTTTTTAACATCCTGATGGAAAAGGTCATACGAGACGCAATTGTGAACAGAAATGACGCTCTGTACACCAAACATCATATGTTACTTGCCTACGCCGACGACATCGACATAATGGGTCGGACATTACGAGCGGTAACAGCCACCTTTGAACGAATTGAGAAGGAATCTGCCAAAATGGGACTGTCAATAAATGACGAGAAAATCGAGATGACGTCCAGTAGACTCGGACCAACTGTGGATCTTGAAAACTACAGCTTAGAAGTAGTGAACGATGTTATATGCCTCGGTACCGCCATAAATAAAACTAATAACATCAGCTTTGAAATCCGGAGGAGAATAGCGTTGGCCAACAGATGCTACTATGGTCTGAGTAAGAAACTCAAAAGCAAGTCCACCTCTCTCGCCAGACCAAACTCATGCTCTACAAGACGCTGATATTACCCGTGCTTTTGTACGGATCTGAAGCATGGATACTTGCGCAAGCAAATGAGGCAGCTCTTGGTGTGTTTGAAAGAACAATTCTCCGGGAGATCTATGGACCGATCTGCGTCGACGATGAATATCGTCGTCGAATGAACCATGAACTATACCATCTATTCTCGGACATCGACATAGCCAGACGGATCGAGGGTCGTACCTAAATTCATGCGTATGCGTACGAATTTATTTACCTCAAAAATGAATTTTATGTATTTGCATTGCGTATAAAAATATATAGTTGAAAATTTTCAACATTGGCAATGCGTATTTTGGATTTTATGAGAATAGAATTTCAGTCACTGAAAAATTTCTGTTTCTGTATAAAAGTATACTTTTCGATCAATTAAAAAAATGTTTTCATCCATTTTCACCGTTTTCAATTGACACAGATGCAAATAAAGTCCTTGCGTATTTGTGTAATATGGACGTCTAACAAACCCTATAAAGGTGAGTATTTTAGTATGGAGTGCAATAAATTAAATAAATTAGGTACTACCCTGAAATATATACAATTTATTTATTAAAATCTGTTATTTTGTATCTGATTTCATAACAACTTCAACATATTACAAGATGTATAAAATAAGGTGTGACAATAGTATGGCTTTAAACTTTTTTTCTTTATTGCATGGTACAATTATACAGAATGGAGAAAATACACCTCTACCTTATGGGCAATAATGTCAGAATCAATGAAAACAAATGCAACAAGTCGTTCTGTTAATTTGACTTATTTTTAACATATTGCCAAATACGCAAAAAAAGAAAGGTTTTCTTTTCAAAATCGAGTTGGGGATATGATTTATGTATTGATTCATTCACAAATCATACATTTCTTCTTAGAAATGTTGTAAAATTCATCTTCAAAGAAATCGAAATCGGCAGGGGTGGGAAAGTGAGGCGTGGGAACGTTCGAAAATCTTTGACATACTCCCATGGACCGATTGCACAAGGGCAACACAATTTCCTAGATTTAGTCTTCAAGGAGGCGAACTTTGAAGCCTCTACTTCGAAAAAGTACTTTACAATATAAGCAACATCACAAGAAACCAAGGGCTACATGCTGGAAACTTTTCAAAATAAGCGGTGATCGGATCTTAAACTTTACATTTTCACAACCTATAATTGCCAAAAACCCAAGAATATACAAATTTATTAATTATCCATCAAAGAAGAATGGATAATTGTTTTTGTTTATTTTTGCCAAAAACTAATTTTTTTTTTTTTGTAAAATGTTATTTGTATTTGTAGCGATGCATATACCTTATTAAATACACCTTGAATTATTATTATTATACACATACATTTGATTTTTTACTGGACTTTACTGGATGTTGTTCGATAACTTTGTTTATTATTTTCACATGAGGAAACAAACTTTCTCAACATTAGTTACTGAGTAATTTTTACTCAGTAAGTTGTCGGACAAACGTATTATAATTTTAAATTTTGTCATTTTTTGAAAGAAAAAAACATTTAAATTTTCGAGAAATATTTTTTGGTTCTGTCGTAAGTTACCATCTTAGTTGAGCTGAAAATAAAATGCGCATCTGTCCATTACTTGAGAAAATATAAAGTTGTGTAATGTTTGGATAAATTCAGGTACTTCGCTAATTCGCTGTCTGTTATCAAAAAAAAAAAAAAAAAAAAAAAAAAAAAAACAGACAAACGGACAATCGATGTAGACTTTTTTCTTTTAAATTTTGGTGGGGGTTCAAAAATTTGAGATTTGCCTCATATGAAAATTAAAATTTAACCCATTAAAATTTAATTTAATTTAATTTTAATTTAATTTAACTAGTATTATATATAACACCGCTTGAATGAAAAGCTATGCATCTATATTCTCTGTTTACATACATACCGTTATCCAAATCATGTTCACATTCACTTTCTTCGGATGAAAAATCCTTTGAATCAAATGTCGGCTTATTCCTCGTTGAGGAATTTGTATTTCGGTGCGAAATAACAGATTTGGTGTCTCCAGAATGACAAGCCTTTATTATATTGGGTAATGCATCTGGTTTGCACTCAACAAGTGATTTTGTCTTCAACCTCTGATTTCTTTTGTGGGAAATTATGTGTGATAATCTAGGACTTTGATTATTATATATTAAAACACGTCGGTTTTTAGGCGGTGGTGATACTTTTTTTGTTGAAGCTTCAGGACTCTGCGTCAACTGAAGTGTATGTTTTTCATTTTCATCATGATTTGATTTATTTGGAGATTCTTCATCCGACCTCTTGTAATTATTTAAGTAATCTTTGGTCCTTTGGTATTCATGTAATTCTTTATTATTTCTTGCACCGGATTTTTGTGAATTGGAATATTTATCTTCTACGAAATATTTTGATTTTTTGTACTCGTGAACATCAATATCTTCTGTGTAACCATGTACGTTTTCAATGGCAGTGAGGTTGATGGAATCGTAGCGCCAATTATCATACGCGCTATCGTCATTATTATTGACGGGTTTTTCCTTAAGTACGTGCTTTTCATATTGATCGGCTATATCTCTGTGACCATTGAAATTATCCCGGTCCGAGAGTAATTCGTACTTATCGAGTGTCAAATCCTCATTGGATTGCAGGATATTTTTGGAGGAGGGCATGTTACGAGTTGATGGTAGATTTCTTCTCCTAGATGTCTTTTCTGACGTATTTGTATTTTGATAATATAAACAAGGATGATATTTTTCGTAAAAACTGTCTCTGTGCGAATCGCAACAATTAAAATCAAACCTGAAAAAAAAAATTAAAAATCAATATAATACAAAATTTTATAAATATGATTAAACTTTTTCAATTCTCCGAAATATTTTTTCAAATTTAGGCCTTTACGGCCCAATATTACCCATAGGCAAAAACATTTCAAATGAAATCTAATAAAATTCTCAAGTTATGACCTTTTATATTCGGATTAAGCGAATTTGTCATAAAAATGATTTTTTATTTTTGTAAATTATATATGGGTTTTAATTTTTCAAAAAGAATGTACTGTATCTCCCGAAAGCAAGGATGTAGTGAGGACAAATTTTGTTCTTGATTCATCAAATTTGTGCACACAAAATAGTTCTATGGGAACGGAGGAAAAATCGGGGTTCAAGAGTTAATCTTTCATCTCAAGTAAGAAAAAGTTTAATCATTATCGTTAAATTAAAAATGATAAATATAGTAAATGTATGATAAGTGTGTCTATAATCGGGGTGCAAGATAAATTGAAAAATACGATGTGATTGGATTTTAACGAAAGAAAATAAAAAGAATCATTAAACTGGGGAATTATTATTACTGTCGACAACGATGTCGCTGCGCTCGTGATTCTGATTCTTCTTTGAAACGGAGATTCGTTATTGGCTGGCAATTGTTGTTTGCGTTATTGCCATGCTGCAATTGAACACATCTTGGTGGCGCGCTTTTCTTATTAGATATATGCGTACTTTTATTATGCTTATCGCCACTGGCATAATGACCATAGATCTGGCGATTGTTGTCAGAATGTTGTTCCTGTGGAATATGATAATAGCGATATTGTTCTGGTACAATATCGCTATGACTAATCTCATGGTCGTATTGATAGGCCCGTAAGAGTGAATTCGGCACAGAGTATTTATCACTATTGAAATCTTCATATTTTATGTTCATATCCTCCTGCATTCTTTGTAGAGATGGCTGAACGTTGTTTAACTTAATTCCACTTAGAAAATATTCGTAGTCGTCATCGGTGCAGTGATTCGAAAATCCAAAATGGTAATTTGAACACATTATCACACAAATAATTTAATTTTATCTAGTATTGGACACATTCTTTGGTCCGAATTGACTAAAGAAAAATCCAAGAGAGCAAAAACTGAAAATAGAATATTTTAAAAATTTTACATAATTGCAGAATTGTTTAATGCAAAATATAATTCAATATAAAACATATACATATTCAAGCCTATTTCGCATGTCGTGTCGTTATCGACGACGTTTCTTTGTCAACATCACTTCGCATAGACATCGAAATCACTTTGACATTGACTTGGTACTCTGTAGCAATTATAAGACGATGTCGACTATGTATCGATAATATCAATAAAACAAAAAACACACCTCTAAAATTGTAGTCAGTTTTTTATTTTGTTTGATATTTTTGTGCAAAAATGTGTTTTTATCCCTCACCGCACTATGGCACAGGGCATTATGTTTTTGCTACATGCGAAAGGAAACGATGTAGACCCATATTTAATTTTAGTATATACATAGAATTACTTTTTGAGTCGATTTATGCATGCTCCTCCGTCCATGTATTATTTTAAACAAGTTACATTGTATCTTTGTAGGAAGAAATTTCGTACATTCCATCCGAATGGAATGCAGCTTCATTAGGCATTTGAGTTTATATATAGATCCCAAATATATTCTTCTTTTTATTTTTACGAGATTTTGCAAAACGTATTGAATAGATTCTAGAATAACGTATCCTTTTCTTGATAGGTCATATTATTTTTAACTTCTTAAAAAAATGTTGAAACACTTCAATCGTCAAATAAAAAATTACGACATCGTCAAACTATGTTACAATAGATGTCGATAAATGCCGACAACGACATCGGGAATACCAATTCGCAAAAGACGACTCTCTACGACGTCGTTTTGTGTCGACGGCGACATACGGAATAGGGGTAATATAATCATGAACATACTGCTTATATGCAATTATACTAGCTATTAATTGTACATGAATGTTCCAACAAATTAAATCTTTGTTCACTTAAGTCAAGTTTAGGGGCTCCACTCGGATCGCTTTGAATGTATAAGGGTATATTCTTCATCTAGTTTTAAAGGACTACCCATAACCTTTAAAATGATTTCTTAGTCGATTTATGTATGGCCCTCCGTCCATTTATTATTTTAAACAAGTTACATTGTACCTTTATACACATTCCATTCGAATGGGATGAAACTTTATTTGGCATATAGATCGGTTCCGATTTATAAATCCCATATATTTTTCTTTTTTATTTACACGAGATTTTGCAAAACGTATTGAAGAGTCTAGTATGACATATCTCTTCTTGACAGGTCATATTTTTTTTAAATACTTAAAAAGATTTGTTCAACCACTTCAGTCGAAAAGTTCAACCACTTCAGAAGAAAAATAATTTACAAAAAATTTTTGTTATTGTTTTGTTGTTGTTTTTTGTAATTAAAGAAAAGTCCTTATTTTTGATGGCGGGCATGATAACTCCTCACTGGAACATCGGAATCCGAAAATTCCAACGGTGTTAGAAAGAGTACATGGCTGGCTCTCGTATGAACTAGGATTATTGACTTCGCTCTAAAATTAACAAAATGGCGGACCTTTAAAAAAATATTTTTGGAAAATCGCCTATTTTTGACCAAAAAATAAGTTAAAAAATAAGGAAGGTCTTCACCAATTGGCTTTATCCTAGTTCAGCCGATAGCTATCCACTCACAGAGAAACGTGTAAAAATTTTGAATCGATTGGGTTATTAGTTTTTGAGTTATCGTGCCCGCCATTCGCAAAAGAGAAAAACGCGTTTAAAGTTTGAGAAGCCCTTTAGCCGTCACTTGATGCTGACACAATAAATATATTTTCAAGAGTTCTTGAGATTTTCTCTTGAAATTTTGTTGGGACATTCTTGAATTACTGTAGATTCGAATTAAATCAAAAAAAAAAATTGACCCCGAGAATGGGGGGGGTCCCCTTAAGCAAAACATGCTTCGAACTTTTAAAGCCCATATCTCGGGAAGTATGAATTTCCACCACATAAAATGTATATCACTGTAGTCAGTTCATCGAAGACTAGTTCATTCAAAATGATCCGAGTGGGTCTCCTCAAATTGACTTGGAGCCTCATTGTATGAAACCATCCCACATAGCTTAGGATGTGGACAAATAGATATTTGTTTAAATAACAACATTGATGGGACAAGTTCTGATATAAATTTAATGTCGCTGGAACAATCCGTGCTTCACTTAATATTTTGTAATTATGTATCTGAATTGGTTCGCCATCATTTGTACGTCTTTTTCTCTAACTTATAAACCTTGAACTCTGGATTGAGGATATAACCCATATTTTACTGTTGACCTTATAACACAATTGTGTTACCGCGCTTTACTTGCCCACATACAGTCAATAGATAGTTTGACTGGGATTCTGTATAGAGAACAGACTGCAGAAATCTATGGATATTAAGCAAAAACAGAAAAAAAAACATTTTCACACATAATTTTAACCTAGTTTCGGGAGGTTCACTTTTCATACTTATATGCACTACATACGTCTCAGAGGAAGTATCAGGATAACAACATTATCTTCATTCGGCAGGTAAAGTTATTCTTTATCACAATTTTTAAATCTTAGCTCATTTCTGCATTAGTAATACATATTCACAAAACGTATTGACAATCGAACAAAGTTAAAAATATAATAAATACATATGAAAACAAATTTTAAGCTCAATATGTTGTGTATGCAAAAAAAAAACGTGCTGATACTCTGAAGTTTGTTTTCGTTTTACTGTTTGACATTCATTTAACGCACACACACACATTAGTACAATTCCAAAACATGTGTGATTAATTAAATAAAATATGGTTACTGGATAATCAAGTAATAAGCGTTGCCATATAGTACAGAAGCTGTTAACGGAAACTAGTTTGCGCCAAAAATTTAATTTTTATTATTGTCATCACCTGTGTATTATCTAATATATAATTATACAAGGTAGTCTCATACAATCTCAATTTTTCCATTATTTTTGTGTTCAGTGCAAAAATTAGCAAATTAGGAATATTGTCTAATATTTTCAAGATCCCTGCCTCTATAATCTATAAATGGAATTTGCAATACCAATATCATAGTACAATAATACAAGTGGTCTGTTCCCGTACTGCAAGAATCTACTAGTTTTTACCACGATAACGAATTTTCCTTTATGTTATCGAAGAAAAAAGTAAAATCTAGTAGGTTCTTGCAGCACGGGAACAGACCAAAGGTAACTGCAATACTCAACAGATTGAATTCCGTTGTATCGTTCCGTTGTAAATAGGTGTTGAGAAGAGTAACCGATTTTTGTCGCCGTCTATGCTAAACATGAGAAAAGCAACCGATTTTTATCGCCGTCTATGCTAAACATATCACAGGTCAACAATAACAGCAACAACATTAAACAAAAAGTATATAATCTAAATTCAAAATTATTCTTTTTCGAATATTTATTTTATTTATTTATTCGATTCCTTTGCAATTTAAGCCAATTTACAATTCATGAGGCCAATTTAAAGTTAATTCCACCTTATTTCATAGCTACTCAGTATAGAATTATGTATGCGTAATACTTATATATATATATATATATATATATAAAAACATGAAAATAATAAATATTATAATTTGTACTAGACTCAAATATGAATATATATTTAATCATTACTACTAAATTAAGTCGCTACTTATACATAACAATCATTGTTTATTTATACAAATTTATTTAAAAAAAGGGAAAATAATTTAAAAAAATTTTAAATGACAATCAGTTCAATAGACCGAATAATAAAATAAGGTTTGTTAAGAAAAAAAAAACATCAATCCATTACGTGGTTTCAGAGAAATATAGAAGAAGATTTTTTTTATAAGTACAGTATCTGCAACGAAACACTTTTAGGTTATCAGGAAGTAGATTGAATAGTCTTGATACTCTAACGGTAAACGATTCGTTCATGTGAGGTCCTATTCTAGGCATGATTAATTGATTCACACGAACTGAATGAGAAAAATTAAAAAAGTTTATTAAAAACTGTGGTGACTGTTGTTTATATACTTTGTAAAATAATAACAATAGTCTATAGTTGACAAGACAAGGGAATGAGCAACCCAGAAAACATCGAACATAACCGGAAATGCGATCAAAAGGACGACGAGATATCGAACTACTCTGTTAAATATGTATTGTTGAGTACATACAAATCAGGGACGGGCAAAAACATTTTTTAGAGTTTATATTTGATACACAGCTAGTAAATATATATTTTTTTGGAATGTATATTTCAAGGCCTGATTATGGACGACACATGTCAAAATAATATTCTAAGAAATTCAAATTTTTGGTCAAGTTATGTGCTTTTCAATATAGAAAAGAAAAAAATGTGTAAAGCACCAATTTGTGTATACAGTCGTATTCGAATAGTACGAATTCAATAATCAGATTTTTTTTGATTCTTGGAAAGAAGAAAATAGAGAATAATTTAAAATGTTTTTTGAGTAGCTGCTTAAGTTTAAAAAATGTATTATATTAATATATATCATTTGTACGCACGTTAAATTTGTATATGTTTAATAAAAATATATATGGGAAGGCATTATTAATCGTGAAAATATATTATTACTACAGACAATATTTTATATTCATTAAGCTTACAAAAATATAAAACTTCATTAGTCTTAATGTATTGCGTATATGTTAAATGTTTTGCATATAAAAAAATGTATATTTCAAATTAAGTCTTCTACTTTAGATTTTTTAGTTATGTGTTGCGCGCGTCTTAAAATAAATTTTTAATTTAATAAAAATTTATAAAGACCGGCAAACTTAAAATTGCACTCCGATTGGCAAAAAGAAAAAGAACCGGATATGCAGGGCGA